TTTTTTTTTTTTTTTTTTTTTTTTTTTTTTGAAAATATACGATCAAAAATTGAGATAATGATGAGGATAAGATTGTATTAAAAGATTTATTAGAACTGTGTAAAAAAATTGACATAATTTTTGTTATAACATTAGATAGTAAAATAGGTGGAAACAGTTACAGGCAGTTTTTTTTCCTTTTTTTTTTTTTTTTTATTATTTACATTAAATGAGAATAAATAGTGCAAGAAAAGTTTACCTATTGTAGTTGTAAGTAAGAAGTGTTTGAGGAAGGATCATTAAGTTTAGTGGGAAAGTAGATCGATTAAGCTTCAGTTTCTATGTTGTTGTTAAATGAAATTTTAAATCATCTCTCTGTAATTTGAGCGGCTTTTAAGCTAATAAGTGAAAGTTTAGCAGTTGATGAAGCAGCAACAGCAACAGCAACAGCAAAAGCAACGGGGCAAATTGCAACGGCAACGACGAAAAGAAAAATAACAGTTGTGCAGGAAAAAAAAAAAACTATTTTAGTGCTTACAAATTCAAATTAAAATGAGCACTTTAATTGACTGTTTGCTGTCATTTGTTATTGCTGCTTTTGTTGCTGCTGCTGCTGCTGCTTGTTGTTGTTTTAGACGTACTTTGTTCAAACGACATTGACACTGTTTTTCTTTACATGGAATGGTTTTCTTTTTTTTTTGCTCTTTTTGCTATTTTTAGTATAAGAATTTTTATTGTTGAAATTCATTTAAGAAACAAAAAGAAAAGTTTAAATTATTTTTTTTTAAATTACATTATTTTCAAGCATTTTTCAAAATGATTGTTATAATAATGAGCGAAAAACAAAAAGAGAGAAAATAAAAAAGAAGCCGAAGAATAAACAGCAACAGCTTTAGGAGGAGGAAGAAGGAAAAGTTGGGAGAGGATAGCAAAATGAAAACTGAAAGAAGTAAAATTTGGGAAGAAGAAAAAAAAAACATTTGTTTAGAGAGACACAGTATAACTGCAGTTCTGATGGGGGGAGCAACATTTTTATTTCAAATTTAACAAATGAGTTCATGTCATTT